CAATAATAATGTTAAGTACAGAGATTACATAAAAAGAAAAAAGTTCAAGCACAATATTTCCCCATTTTAATTTTGCTATGCTTTACGATCTAAAAAGTAACTTTCCTTTGTTGTCTCTTAATGTATGTGTTCCTTAGGCTTGTATTCGACCACTTTTTTGCTCATGTTGCAATCTTCTTCAGCGATCTCTTCGCTTGAACTACCACCACCTCAAAATAGCCTATTATCCTGCCCTAACTTCCACCTGGTAACACAATTTGGATGCAAGGTGGTAGCCATCTACCTCTCCAACTAGTTCTCCCCTTGTAAACTTGACTTTCATGTGGTTGACACCACTGCCTTGATCGAATTTGGACATAGCCTCCCCAAGATGATGTTGTAGGCCGATTCAGCTCCTACGAACATAATACACACCATTTTACTTTTCTTATCGAGCCAGACCCCTAAGAAGCTGAATGACTTCTCACATGGGTATGACTTCCCACTTTATATCAAAACAGATATGTGTTGATCTATTTTAGCTCAACCCTAAGTCTATCTATTTGAAATAGTCATAAAACATCACGTCTACCGAGCTCCCCATGTTGATGAATATACATTGGACTGTTAGTGTTATATACTGAAAGCTTGGCTTTGGATGATATTACACTTTTACACTTTATGAATGAGAAACATGTTAGATTAAACAAGTTCTACGTTTTGTTGTTTTGCATTAGATAGTGTGGGTCGTCATCGGGCGAACCGAAGATCATGCTATCAGTTACTCGCGAAACAATAATAAGTGGTTCACAACCCAGATGGACATGAACACCCTATCGCGAACGGTTGTAGTGTCAACTGTACAGTTTGTCTTGACTGATTAGTTGCACTAGTACATTTAAGTATTGAACAAGATCCCAGAGAGGAGCAGTTCGTTTTATATTGATCGTCGTAAACGAACTAGGCATCGGTTAATTACTGCGTACTCTTAACCCATAATATATTAAACAGACATATATGTGTAGTATTTATTACTTTGATTCACATGGGTGAGGCTTAGTGGACTGGGCCAATAGACCCGCTGTCTTGGGTAATATTGTTGCATGTAGGATGTGCTGTTAGGATATTTACGGTCACCATGTGCGTTAGTTTGATGATGTCCCCGAAGTGAGTTTATGAAGGATTATTATGCTAAACCCTGCAGGTGGATTAAATTCCGACATAGTAATAATGTGATGAACGAGCATTGGCTTCGGTGAAATAATAATACATTAATTAATTCTTGATTGTCAGTAATCGAATTAATTAATTTACATTATATATTAAACATGGAGAGATAAATCGAGTAATTATTATTGGAGTCTCAATTGTAAATTGGGCTAGGAAAAGGGAATGCAATAATATTATGTTGGTGGCCCATTTAATATTATATAATTAATTAAAATAAGTAGCTTGGTGCACAAGTATTTTAATTAATTAAGGAGCCCTAATCCTAATCTCCTAAGGATCCCTACTGTAGCTCTATATATACATCATTAAGCTCATGGGAAGAGGAGAGAATTCCACATCTTGGAAATCACGCCCCACGCCTCTCTTCTCTCTCTCAGTTCCCATTTGAGCTTTATCTTCTTCTTGTTGTTCCACTGGTACAAGATTAAGAGGTGTTTGAGATATACAGTAGAAGATCTTTGGGTAAAGTGAGACGAAATATATTTGGTCGTATAGAACTAATCGGAGGTCCGATCAAGACATGCAGCATACCCAGATGACCGTTTTGACGAGAGATTTCCAACTCCACCGAGATCGTAGTCGTCCGACAACCCACGCGCCCGCACGCGCCGTCGCAAGGTCCCAGGACTGCAACTTGTCTTCATCTGTTTTGCACTCGTTTGATCCGGTTTTCGATCCGATCTTGTTCGTGCAATCCTATGACGCGATTTGCAGTCAAAAATTCATTGGTGTGTTGTGTACGACCATCTAGAAGATCAGCCAGTTCGCCATAAATTTTATGTCGTAAGTTCTCTACGCAAACCTTTAGATCCGTTGCGCATAGATTTACGAGTACTACTGGCGCAGCGTGACACTTCCTTCCCGGCGTGACGAGTACGCAAGCTTCTCTGAAGGAGTCGCGGCGGTTCCACGACGCGAAGCCTGGGGCTAGCTGGTGCTTGGACCGCTTGCACGATTTCACGTTTCGAAGTCATTCGGGCTCGCCTAGTGCCGGAATTCGACTCCGTTTTTTCCCATGTATTGCCAACGGAATGCACTCTTTAATCATGTTCATCCGGTCTATTTATCATAGAAAATAAATTCTCCCGAACCTTCCAACTTGCACACCAAAGACGAAGAAAAACGGAAAAAACACACGAAAAACACGAAGAAACCAAAATAGAGCGGAACACACAATAAACTATAGAAATGAATAAAAACTAACGAAAAGACCTAAAACGGGGGAAAAAGAAAGATAAAATAAGCACGAAAGATGTAACAAAAATGGGACAAACGACATTCTCTCCTCGACCTTGGCCACGTGATGTTATCTCCATCCATCCTCCTTTCCATGGTTTCCAATACCTCTGTAGACTCGACCTCAATTATCGTACCTATCACAACACCTCATAGACCGTCCCTTCCATCGATCTTCTTGCCTTATGTCTGGTCTCTTCTTTTTAGAAGAACCAATTTTTTTTTTCAATTTTGGTCTCTGGTCGAGACAGGTTCCCTAGTTTGCCGAATTCAGCCTCTGCCTCTTCCATATTTACATATTTGTTGTACCTCGTTAGGACCTCGTTATAGATCATCACCGGCTTCTTGGCCAACGAGCTCCAACACGAACCATCTCAAACACCCCTGGTAAGTCCTTGTGCTTTAACCTCCTAAGAGGCCGAAGGGATTTCGACACATGTACGAGTGTATCAACCAATAAAACTTCGGATTGTCTTTTCGCTCTCCTGAAGCATCGCCATTAATGTTAGATATGTATTTTCCTGTGACCTCAAGCTCATAGAAAGGTTAGGAAACCTATTAGAAAACTCCTCAAAATCTTTGATCGACCCTGGGGTGAGCTGGTGGAACCAATTTTGTGCTCCCCCCGGAGAGTCGCCAAGAAACTCACAACATCTGCATACCCATGTAGAACAACCATATTTTTGAATGAGCTCAATTGTCGAGCTAGGTCTGTAGACTCGTCGTACGCTATATTGAGCTCTCAGAATGAATTTGGCCAGTCAGCATCTTAGATTCTCTGAGCAAAGGGTGGCCACAAGCTCTCTTCAAATTTTTACTTCGACCCTTGCTTGTAATTCCTATATTTTTTCGGCCATTTTCTCTACCATGAGGTCACGATGTGACCCTCTGCTTGTGCTACTTGAAACTTCGACCCTAGTGTCTCTTTTGATCGTTGCAGTGACGGTGACTGCATTCGACATCTTGCTATTGGGCGCACCCAGCCGCCACTGCATCGGTTAATCAATTTACTCAGCTTCGCCATTGTCAGGGTAACGAGTTTCTGCCTACTTGCTTGACCGCACTTCTCCCATCGGCATGACTGCAACTACATCTGACTACTTTTGGGGTGGAACCACGACCTCCATGCCCCACCTGCATTTGGTTTCTTGGGCCTCCATTGCAACAGTGATCGCTGATAAGCTCCCTAAGCCCCCAGGGTTAGACATGGGGGCCTTAAACGGCCCAAAAATGTCCGGTGGTGGACCTGCTCTAAGAAAATTTATGGTGGTCCACGCATCGTCAAAAGTATGCTCTAAGTTCTTCTTGGGAACTTCGTTCACCATGGTCTGGTGTTTTGAAGGCATTTTGAATGAGTCCCACATACAACACGGAAATGGAATGCAATGACCTTGATCTACCTTGCATGACGTGGATCTATGTTTCAGCCTGTTCGTAGACCTGCAAAATAGATTGAGAGGGTTCCCGGCGTTAGCATTATGATGATCAAGTATGTCCAAGTGATAAAGACGATGAACATTGGATATAAAGCAGCTTTGTAAGTATATAGGGTATGTAGAGAATGTAGATTGTAAAAGAAAATTCCTCACCCCTTTATAAACTTGGTGTCACCTTATTGCGCTAAACTGCCCGAGCTGCCCGTTTGTACTGCCCAAGCATCCCGAACTGTCCAATTCTGTTAGGCGACATGGTCCTGTCCACATGTGGTTCTTATTCTTATTATATTCTTTTTTATCCATTAGTCCTTGTTATTAGACTGTCTAATCAGGAGGTTGACCCAATTCACATCTAGGTAAAGTGTTTTTTGTGTTGAGCTCGTGCTCGCTGCTCTTTTGGTCGGTCCATCGACCAGTCATACCCTCATATCGAGTTTCCACAAGGTCATCTGAGTGCCCTAGCTCGACCTGTCGTGGTTCTTCTTAAGTGTGGTGTCCTCCTCGACCTGTTAGTGATACCTCTTCACGTAGCATCCTCGTCGACCTGATGAATTCCTCGATCTCTGATCGACCTATCAGTTCACCCAACCCAGTTGGCTGGTTTTTCAAGTCAAATCAATCCGATATGGTATCCCATACCAGACAGTATGTTGTATGATATCTAAATTATTGGCTTTTTTTAAAAAAAAAAATAAGAAGAAAAAAAAAATTGCAACTAATATAATTTTAAAAGTTAAAAAAGGATTATATAATATGAGGTGAAACTTTGTATCATCTAACTTCCCAGATCAGCCAAAGAAGTTAAAATAATTAATAGGCCAGTAGATGGGCTTGGCCCTTTCCCCCTTTGACTTGCACAGTCTGTTGTCAAGATTATAACATTATTTACAAATGACTTTGATTAACTATTTCTTAATTAATCAAACTCCCTCAATAAAAAGTCCATTAATTATACAGCAGCCACAAAGCACATGTGAAGTCAAATTATTAGAGAGAGAGAGAGTAAAAAGATAGCCAACCAGTTTCAAATACTCTCTCTCTCACCCTCTTTCAAAGTACAGCTGCAAATCAAAGACCTATGCACAAAGTCTCAACACAGAAAGCCACATAGAGAGAAATATGGGAAGAGCTCCTTGCTGTGACAAGGCAAATGTGAAGAAAGGACCATGGTCTCCTGAAGAAGATGCTAAACTCAAAGAATTTATCGATAAATTCGGCACTGGTGGGAATTGGATTGCTCTTCCTCAAAAAGCAGGTGAGTAAATAACTTTGTGAAAACAAAAACTAGAAAAGTTTCATGGCTTATGTGTATTGAACTCATCTTGTTTTGCTAATAATATTGGGCTTGTAATGAACAAGGTCTGAAAAGATGTGGAAAGAGTTGCAGATTGAGGTGGCTTAATTATCTGAGGCCTAATATAAAGCATGGAGAATTTTCAGATGAAGAAGATAGAATTATATGTACACTCTATGCAAGCATTGGAAGCAGGTATTGCATATATAGTATATTCATTTAACCCAATTACTTAAACAACTTTTTTTTTCTCTCTTTTTTTTTTATCATTTTTTTTTCTGTTTCTGCATAATTTCTTCTGGAAATTTATATGATTTATTTAAATTTTGTTATCTCAAATATTCTGCTCAAATTTTCCATGTAATATTAGGTTTCCGTCAAATTTCATAAAAAAGTCAACAACATCTGCTATTTTTCACCATTTTATGCATGCATGCCCACTTCTTTATAACTACAAAACCAGTTTTCGTGAATATTTGCTCACATATTCTATTTATCATAAGCTCAAAAACATTTTTCTTATGGAACATGCCTTTTACTTTTCATTAATATTAGGTGAAGATAAATTTGCAGCCTATTATACATACTTTTTTTTTTTTATTCTACAACCTAAATCAATTCTTTTTTTAATAAATGTTCATGAACTCCAAATGGCACTTTGAAAAATATGTATATATGTTGCAACTTTTTGTTTTCCCTTAAGTATTATAAAAAGTATTTTGATAACATAATAAAAAAATAAATGAATAAAATTTGCAGGTGGTCAATCATAGCAGCCCAATTACCAGGAAGAACAGACAATGATATCAAAAACTACTGGAACACAAAGCTCAAGAAAAAAATCATCATGGGTACCTCCAAATTATATTCACCCAACAACAACACATTTCAACCCCAACTATCAAGCCAAATTTACACCCCAATCCATCACAACTATCAAAACTCATTCTATTTGCAGTCAAGCCCCCGAAACCTAAATTTCATGATGTCCCTCAACTATCCCAATTTTCCACTACCAACCCCTCAAAACCCTAACTATTACTTCCATCAGGACCAAAATGTTAGCAATTTGGTAGATTTTCAGTACAATAAATTTCCCGGGAAATCCGAAAGCAGCGGCATTAACGACAATAAATTGCTAGCTTTCGGAGGGAAAATCGAAACGAGCCATACGTCTTCGTCGGAGGGGAGCTCCTCTAACAAAATCGGCCATCATACCGTGAAAACGGAAGATCTAATGGCCGGCTGTGATGATTTTCATGGCTTTTTAGCTGAAAATTATGATAACGCGGCATTTGGTAATCTGCCAAACAGGGCCTTAGAGTGTGATGATCTGGCGCAGGTCAAGGGGCTCGCGAGCGCTGGAGCTAATAATTATGGCGGTAATTTTTTGCTGGGTGATGTTATTAACCGTGAAGATGACGGTGAAAACGAGGGTTTTTACTATTAATTACCACTCATGAGTCTGTGACTCATGTGTTGTTGTTGTCAGATTCTCATTGGAAAAAGGTACAATCTGCGAGGCCGTGGGCAATGGTGGGTTGTACTCTTGGTGAGGGTTTCAGGTTTTTTGGAAATGGAGAAGAAAAAGAAAAAAAAAAGTCAAAATTGATTATTTGTTTGTTTGTTTGAACAGTACATAGCAAGATTTAAATGCTTATATATGTTTTAGGCCAAAAAATAAAATAAAATAAATAAATAAAAATTGTGGTGTGTCTTTTTGTTATTATTCTCTCCTATTTTTCTTAAATGTCATTATAGCTTTATCAACTATTTGCTAAATAAATGTCGTTTTGGATTTTTTGTACATATATTTCCATTATTATCCTCATTTAGATAATAAATACATTACGTCTTTTCATATTCAATTTTCATTTTTTCTCAAAACATTCATCTCTGTCTTCATTAAATAAAGTTGTTATTGAAAAAAAATTATTTTTAATTAATGTACAACTTCTCAAAACAACACCTATTAAAAATAGGAGGTAGTATTATATCTATATATTTTTTTGCTGTACATTACTAATTAACTTGTGTCCAAAACAAAACAAATCTCTATGCCCTTATCATGAACTTCTGACACAGACAGTAAAACAGACACTGTTCATGTCTTCACTAAAAACAAGGTGCACACAACTAGTGAAGTGTTAATAATTAATAATATTATAAAGGGAAAAACTGTTTTAACCTCCAAAAACTATGTTGATTTTCAGAGTTACAAATTTTTTTCTTTGACAATTTTCCTTTTATAGGAGCAATAGAAAAAAAATTTAATTCGAGATTTCTGATAATCAAGATATTCGATTTTTGATTGAGAGGTCATTTGAAATCTTGCATGACCAATTTTCTAATTCGTACGGCAAACTCTAAATATCGACTTAGTTTGGGAGATTAAAAGAAAAAATCCCCTGTTATAAAATTATTTTATGATCTTCATTATATATTGACTTTG